AGGAATAAGAGAGATACATTTTAAATATCTCCTTTAATAGTATGTGATTGTTTTATAAAAAAAAATGTTAAGCATGTTACTATATTCTTAGGTATGAGCTGTTGATTGATATATGTCTATAATCTGATATCAGTAACTTGTTCTGCATGTAAGATTGAGTGAATTTAATTCTTTTGCCTACAGGAAGTACTCAGAGAATACCAGCACACAAATATGTATTAGCAGTTGGTAGCAGTGTATTCTATGCCATGTTTTATGGAGGCCTGAAGTCAGAAGACGAAATTCAGGTCCCCGATGTAGAACCTTCTGCTTTTCTAACTCTGCTCAGGTGAGTGTACTTTGAGGATATATTTTGCTTTATATTTTAGATTTATTAATTCATTTGATATCTAATTATTATGATAGCAGAGTATGATCATGTGGTATAATGTATTAAGAACTATGCAAGAAGTACAAAGGACATCCATAGTTCTGGAATAGAACTATGGATTGAAAGTATATTATAACTAATTACTTCATCTTATTAAACAGAATTAAAGATACATATATATTCTTCTATACTTCAATTCCAGGTATCTTTACTGCGATGAGATACGTCTTGAGCCGGACACTGTGCTAGCCACTCTTTATGCAGCTAAGAAATACCTAGTTCCTCATTTGGCCCAACAGTGTGTAAAATTTCTCGAAGTCTCTTTAACAGCTCGTAATGCTTGTCTCCTGCTCTCTCAGTCTCGCTTATTTGAGGAACCTGAATTAATGACTCGATGTTGGGAGGTCATTGATGCACAGGTATGCCAAGTGATTTACTTCTGTTTGAGTGACATTGTTAAAGCAGAAGATTTACACATATATGTATGTAGCCTTTTTTTTTTTGTAAAGCTAGATATCACTACTTTGTTTTGATTTGTATGAACATTTTTCTCCTTCTGTTCCCCAGTTTGTTTGCAAGTTTATATCCATGGATTGACACAGTGGTAGGCTGACAAGAACATTCCTTTGGTGCAAGATAACTAAGTGGTTGTTTAGAGAAATTTTGTATCATTTACTTTGTGGATGATTATTTCTGATGAATGGTTTGATTATAGAAACAGTGCTAGATAAACATGTTTACAGTAATCACAAAAAGTGCACATTCCTTTAGAAAAAAAAAAGAAAATCAGGCTTTTTGCGGGAATTAGATACTTATCATGTGTTACATTGAAACATGAAAAGAGTAACTAAAGAGGTGGAATCATTTCACTTGTGTAACCACTCGAAAGTCACATTGCAGGTTGGTATGAAATAATGTCTAATAGCAATGGATTCAGTGGGGCACCTATTTTCTTACCTTTTAAGATTCTATAGAGTGGTAAAAGAGAAAAAATATTTCCCTTTTAGATAATAGAATTTAGTGAAATTGCATTATTACAGAGTAGTCAGATCTGCATTTGCAAGAATTGTTAGTATTCTAATTATTTTGTTTCTTGTCACTTCTTACAAGCTGTGTCTGTAGATATCATATATTATCCCCTATGATCCAGATGACCTGACCATCTTCTCAGGAAAAAATTTGGTGTGAGATAACATGAACAGGCTGTGATAAAAAATCTGGCTGTGGCCCAGGGCAGCAAGAACTTACCCTCTTGGGCTTTTCAAACCTCATGGAGGGTGATTAGACCTATTTGGCTTTTAAAAAGGGCTTTCGCATTATTTCCATCATGTGGAATGTACTGTTCATGAGCCATAACTGGAAGAGTGCCGACTCCAGTAAGGATGCTATTTCCATGATCAGGATCCTATTCCTGATTGCTGTTCCAAAGATGAGGCATAGAGTCTAGTCACATGTGTGGCTGATCAAGTAAACCAAATGCAGTGAAGCATCTGGATCCAAGGGATTATATACATATTTTTCTTTGGCTTGTAAATGTTCCATATGCTCTTACAAACTTGATAGTAGATTATCATATATTTCCATATTGATTATGGATAAAATCACCTTATTTTTTCTTGTATGCTCTATGAGCAGTAAAATTTTAGAATCATCATATATCAATTTGATTAAAGTTAAGATATTGTTGGACTAATGCAGGGCACCAAGTATAATCTCTCTTGTGTTTTAGTCTGTTTAGCAGATAGTTTTTTAATGGTTATATGATATTAACCCAATGCTGCCAGGAGCATGTAATGTCCCCCGTTGTCTTTTTTTTGAAATGTTATTGGGTTTGTGTACTTTATTTTTTGTTAATTTTGTTGCACACTGATGACTCTACTAGTGCTCAGCCACCAAGGGAGAGATTGATAGGAGATAGTGACTTCACTTGATTTCCTCTCCTAGTTGTTGTTTTTCTTTCTTTTTTTCTTTTCTTCTTTCCTTCCTTTTTTTCTTTTCTTTCTTTCTTTCTTTCTTTCTTTCTTTTTCATTTTCTTCATCTTTTTCCTCTCTTTTCTTCTCTTATTGCTATCAATATTGATTCTGTTGATATTATTATTGACAAAATAATTTTTGTAATATTATCGATAACAATAGAAAATAAAAATCTTTCCAAAAATCAAGGAAAAGGGTAATCAGGTGAAAGAAGTAGGACCATTAATTGACTCCTTGGTGAGTAAGTACTTGTGGAGCATCTATGTATAAACACAATTAATAAACTAAAATTACAGTGGACATGGCTGCATAGCATGCCATCTGCAACCATTGTGTTAATTGATATTATGAATGATGGTATTTTGTCCATTTATTTGTTACTACTACCCTTTTGTGCGTCTTAGCTGTTGTTAAAGAACTTTTGTCAAAGGAGTCTTCATTACTTGTGGTCATTGCTATTGACAAATTTATATACTTTAAGGTTATTTTGGTTATTTTGGCATTAGGCTAAAGATGTACAGGTATCTATCACCAAGGAATTTAGTGCCTTTTGTGATTAAACTGATATAGTTATGGTGGCAAAATATACTACCTACCTTTATTTTTAGGAGTTGATGCTGAGAATGATTGCATGCACTGTCTGCTATGAATTGATTTGATTTATGTTACATATGCAAGGGATCCCCATTACTTGTCATTTCTTTTTTTCATCCCTGACAATTGTGGATACACTTTTAATCACGCTTCACTTTTTTGTCATTATGGGTCCAAAAGTTTTTACACTTATATTATTTTCACATGAAAAACTATTATTTTCCTTGCACAGACTCCATATCGTCTCTCTATGTAGTAAATAACTCCGTGCAATGGAAAAAAAATGTGCCACAATGGGTTATTTGTGTCATATATCTTTTTTGATTTTCAATTTTACGTAATGCAACCTGTGCCGCCAGTCATAGCGCCCAGGAATATGGTGAGCAGCATGGAAATAGCATATTCCCTGGAGCCGGTGCTCTTCTAGTCACTGCTTACAGACGTTACATTCCTTCTAAGCACGAAATGAGTCAAATCACACTCCCAAGGGGTTTGTGCGCTTGTAGCAAGTCTTTTAAGTCACCCTGACCTTTGCTTATGAAGACAAGTTCGCGTCACCCAGGCCGCAGCCAGTTTGCCCGATGGCGGCATGTTCACGTCACCCGCCCCTCAAATCAAGTTTTCCATTGCGTGACTGCAATACATCAGGTCCAATGGATTAAATGACAAATAGCAGGGATCTTCTCTAGTTGGCTCCAAAAATGCTAAGTCACTAAGGAGTCAGTTACTAGGCCTACTGAATTCATTTGGTTATGTGATTCCTTAAATTTTCATTACAAAATTATTCTTATTACTACTGTTATTAAGAGAAAGATAATAGTAATGATAAAGGCAATGATAGTAATGACTATAAAAAGAGAAAATTTCTTCTTGGTATGTAAGAGTTAAGACTGAGATCAGCCCTTAATAACAACCGTCTGTGAAGCAATTATGTTTAAGGAAAATCTATAGAACAATAGTATAGTAGGGCAAGGAAATAGAAGGATAGATAAATGAATGATGAAATGGTAATATTTTCATTGATCTGTGATGCATGTCTTGGGAAGTATGTTAGGCTTCAGTGTTAATTCTCTTCTTTGAAATTATAGTATGTTCAAATTATTGTCTTTTATCTCTCTCATATTCTCTTTTCTTTCACTTGTGTTCTTTCCTTTTTTTTGTTTTCTTTTTATTCTTTTTCTTTCTTTGGAATGGTATCTTCCAAGGTACTTATTTTAAGTCTCCATTTCAGGCTGAGATGGCACTGCAGTCAGATGGTTTTGTAGATATTGACTTTCCTACTCTAACAAGTGTCCTTTCAAGAGAAACGCTGAATTGCCGTGAGATTATTTTGTTTGAGGCAGCTTTATCATGGGCTGAGGCAGAGTGCACTCGTCAAGAAATAGATCCCTCTCCTGACAATAAACGAAAGGTAGGAGTCTTTGATGTTTTCCACCTTGTCTTATTGTTTCAGGGTTCAAAATGTGATCTGTTTAATCTGTTCTTTTAAGTCTTCAATCTTGTGATAACTATGGATTGCTAAATACTTTGTGTTAATGTGGGATATAGTCTTTTACCTCTTTCATAAGCATAATTTTGACTGTGATTTAAAAATGTACATATGTCTCTTAGGTAAGATATCTTAATTTAACCTCACCTACGGGCAGGTGCTGAGCTCAGCCTTGAATCTAATCCGCATCCCATGCATGGAACTCGGAGAATTCGCAAACGGGGCAGCACAGTCGGGTATTCTCTCCTTGCAGGAGACCACAGACCTCTTTTTGCACTTCACAGCTCGCAACAAGCCTGCTGTTGCCTACCCAGTTAAGCCGCGACAGGGACTAAAGAAACAAATATGCCATAGGTAAGATCAAGTTTTGCATTCCTCAGTATTTTTATGATTTTTACAGACAGTAAACATTTAGTGTTATTTGCAGTTGTTCTTGAGTCATTGTTTTGTTTTCAAAACAGAATTGTTCTCTTTTTTTTGTTAAATTGTTAATGTTCACTCTATATATATGGTATACTTCTTTATGAAAGAATATCTAGTATTTATAAATAGGTCAAGACATCTAAACATCATGTGTACACAATCCTACAGATTCCAGTCATCGGCCTACAGAAGTAACCAGTGGCGCTACAGAGGGAGAGTTGATTCGATAAACTTCATGGTCGATAAACGGATATTTATTGTTGGGTATGGTCTGTATGGGTCCTCGAGTGGTGCAGCTGATTACAGTGTCAGGATTGAGCTAAAGAAATATGGAGAGGTAATGTACCAGATCACTTATTATGAACGTATTTTTTGTTTCTATGTAAGGTTAAGTGTTGTCACGTAATATGTGCAAGTTTGATTTTTTTTGAAGAAGTAGGATGAGGAAGTAACTGAATGATTATTTGATAACTGACTTAAGTATATACACAGAAATTTGGAATGTTTATGTTTGTTATGGAGAGATATTTACTGGGAAGACTCACTTTTATTTTGTATAAGGCAGCGAGTTCTTGTTTGGAAGATTATGCCATCCTTGTGTATTTGTAGTCACATATATAAAAGAGTGTCTTTATCCTTGTTAGGTACCATATCTTTCAGAGGTACAGGATAGAAACAACCCTGAGAGAATATTCAGTAACAAAGTAAATCAGTTTAAATTGCTGAAAATGTAACGGATAATTCTCAGAACAATAGCTCTCAGAAACTACCCACCACATCCCCTCTATATGCTGGTATCTTGCAGGTTATTCTCTCTCTTTCCATTTACTAATATCTTGCATGTCATTATCTCTCTAGATTCTTGCTGAGAGCACCACAAAATTCTTCTCTGATGGATCCTCCAACACCTTCCATGTTTACTTCGCCCACCCTGTACAAGTCGAGAGGGACGTGTACTACACAGCTTCAGCTATATTAGATGGCGCCGAACTATCCTACTTTGGCCAGGAGGGCATGAGCGAGGTCACTGTAGGGGCGGTCACATTCATGTTCCACTGTTCCTCAGAAAGCACTAATGGCACTGGAGTCCAAGGCGGCCAGATTCCAGAACTCATCTTTTATGGGCCGACAACGGATGCATCAGAAAAGTGATCAGTGTCGTCCTCTCAAGCGAGCGGTGGCAATTCTAGCTTATTCAATGGTTATACCATTAAATGTATCATAGATCCTTAAGGACACCTGTATATGGTGGTTTTATTCTTCCTCTTTTAATACAGTGTATATAAACCTTATACAATTATGCAAACCGATCATGATGGATTCTTTTGGTTTGGGTAATGAAATTAGGGGTTTTTGATATCACAAGTAAATTGTGCACTGATTGTCAAAAATGTCTGGTAGAAGTCAAAATAGAGCAGTACTCAGCAATAACATAATAAAGTAGAGGTAAACATATAGTGATTTAAACTTGCAACAAGTCCATTTTCCTAACATTTATCCTTATTGATATCAGAGTAACTGTGCAAAAAAAATACATCTTTTTCATGAAAATTAGTTGTGATACATCTTTTCTTTACCTTTCACAATGTATTTTCTTTAACCAGTTGTTTATAACTCATGTCAGTAAATATTCTGTTCCAAATAATGGTAATGTATGGTATTTAATTAAATGTTTGGAATAAGATATTTAACTTATATGCAAAGAGAATTTCTGAGACTTGACTTTTAAGTGGGTAAGCATTAACTCATAATGCGTGTGTGTGTGTACCTTAAGATAAACCACACTGAATCCCATTATAACTCAAAGTCTTGAATTTATTTATTCTATTATCTTTACCTTCACCTTTGTGTTAATTTTGTCAGTCAAACATTAGTTCTAATGAGAGAAAGTTGTATATTTATTTTAACATTTTGTAATATCAGTTTTATATATTTTTCTTTCAACATAACTGTAAAAAAAGTAATTCCAGTCAGTGGTTGATTTAATGTAAATTGTATATTTGTTTATATAATTTGATATAAAAAGAGGATGATATATAATGTGTGCCGAGTCTGTGTGTCCAAAGATACCAAGAAAAACTGCTAATTTCAAATAAAATTCCATGTAGCTGTGTATATATATATTTTTTTTTTATATAGAAGGCATACTTTGTTATTTTCAAATGCAAATTAAGTGTGAAAAATGTTTTAAAATATAAGAGAAAAGCCACATCGTGAATCTCCTTGTGAAGAAGTACTAGCTTAAAGCATAGTCCTTTTTTCCTCAAATAATGCTATAAGTAATAATTTGTTCAATGCTCCACTCAGACTAAGGAAGAAAGCACTACATACCTATAGCCCTCCGATTTGTTATTCATACTGCAGCATGTCAGTTAATTGATATTATCTTTAATGTAATCTCTGGAATTATTAATATATTGTAGGATGAAGTTTTTAATTGCCGAAGCATGGAAATTGTGTCACTAAGATTGTATGTATAAACAGTGACGCTCCTGTATGAGCATTTTCTATTGCTGTATTATTGATATTTATTTAGTTTAGACTTTAAGACTTGGTATCAACTTTTCTTATGTATAAAATATATATATAAATAAAACATTATTGCTGTAAATATAAACTTTACAACCTTAAGTACATTCTGTATTTGTATATGTAGATATGTTGAACATATAGGATTTTGTGATATGTCACGCATATCTTTTGCATCGAATGCATGGTTCAAGTTAAACTAATCTTGGGTTAATTTGTCTTCATGCAGCATAAGTATTGTATGCAAATGCATGCAGAAAACTGGTAATTGTACAATAGTCAGTTTATGATTAACTAGATATAAGAAGCACAGAAATCAGAAGCAAGATATAAGCATTTTCAAAATCTAAAATAAACAATATAGGACTATTTCAAAGGTGTTATTGCAATGGTAAATGATGAAATTCCAATGCAAGTCAATTATGTGCCATAATGATTAGGGCAAAAACAGTTAAAGTGCATGGTGAGGATAGTTTACAATGCTCTAGAATTTAGTACTTAGAAAAATGAATCCTGCAGGTTCAAATCTGACTCATTTTAAGGATGGTAGAAGAGCCATAGATGCTAAATATTCTGTCTGGTTATACCCATTTGCTATTGGCCCATAACTTTCTTTAAACTTACAAATTGCAGTATTAATAGGACACAAAAGAATGTGGTAGTGTAACAGATAACATGGTATGAATCTATGAATGCATGCATGTCATTCGTAGTATTACATTAAAACCCAGTGGTTCTTAACCTGTGCACTGGAACACTGTAATGTGTAGCATAATAATATTTTGTATTTGTGCAGTTGTCAAGTTTATGCATTTTTAGTCAAAAATGGAAAACATCAGAATTTATCCAAAGTCCACCTAACCTAAAAGGTTTCTAATCAAGTAGGATTTAATAAGTTCTCTTATTGAGTAGCTTGCAACAATTTGTAAATTTACAAAGGAACATTATAACAACACATGTTTATGACAAATTTATATTAGTATATTAATGGAGCGCAGAATTTGATATGTTGTAGAAGTCCAGGATACAATATCTAGCATGTTCCCAGATTGCAGATGTTAAGAACCATAGACATAACGAGTGCATTCTTTATGATAAGATATTTTTGTGAATTTTTTGGCTGAAATTTATTTTTTAAAAATATAATATTTGCAAGCTGTGCTATTCTTTTCAACTGGATGAGCTAGAGCTGATATTGCAGTATCTGGTATGTAAGTAATACAAGATTTCAATGCAGCTTTTTACAAAGCCTTGATAATATATGAGCTAAAAAGACATTTTTTTTCTTGAATACCAGAGTTAACTGATCAATAGTATAATGTGCTTGCCAACAATTTGCTGCCAGACAGAGCCTTAATCACTCACATTTCTGTACATCAATGTGGTGTAAATATATTAGTTTCCTTCTAGCTGTATTATAGGCTTTTTTGTTAGTAGGTCAGCAGTCATGTTTTTTAATGGAGAGTTTTGCAAGAACTCAAGGTCAAAAGACTTTCATAGGGTATTCCCTTAAAAGTGCCATAGGATATCAAAGACTAGGTAAGTTAGCATGCATGTTCATTTAGCATTCATAGCAGCATAAGAAAGTGTGTGCTACTTTTGAGAGTAAAGCTTTTGATTTTCATCGAGAGCATTATTTTATATTTTGCAGACAGCTTAACTAAAGCAATTAGTAAGAGAGAAGCCATTGTTTTATGCAAATGTGAACTTTTACCCTTGGTTAATGATGCTATATTAAATCTTGAATTGTGAACTTTCAAGAATGGAAATTATTTATACCTACTTAGCAATGTTTTTAGTAGTAATGCATAAATTATTTCTTAAGGATGAAACCTGTAAAAAAATGTTTGAATTAGAGAAAAATACACTTTTGAAATTACTTGAGTCCGTACTTAAATTTACTTGCAGTATTTGTCAAGCAGTTTTATCTTAGTAATATTTCAATATTTCAATATGATTTTTTGCTATGGTAGCCAGATATCAGACATTTACTATAGTATTCATCTAGGTAAGCAAAACATTTTTAGACAGAATCATGAACATTCAGAGCACCTGTCTTTGAATGTAACCAATGACAGCTGATCTTGAATAATAGATTTATTTCAAAAACTTCGGAAGCATAGAACAATATTAAACATGCGAGTGATAAAAGTATGACCTTCATGCTGTGTTAGTATACATTTATATAAAATGTTTTATGTCCCATATATCTTTATGACTAGTTTATTTGGTGTGCATTAATTTCACTTCTCATATCATCATGTAAGATTCGTTTTTGTAAAAGAATATTTTTACAATAATGAAATATTACAAAAATAATCCTCTTTAACTTGAGTTGTTCAAACAAAAAGTCAACTAAAATCAAATATAGTACTATGAGGACCCATCTTCATTCTACATTATCTAAAGGGGAATACCTGTACAGTAAGACACAAAAGTAAGGATTATATGATGAACAAAACTGGTTCACATTTTTTACAATTGTTGTATTTTTACAAAATAAGCAATGTATATGAGAATTATGTGTCAGTTATGAAGAAATGAGACATTGACCCTATAGAAAAGATCTTTCCATAGAGATTAGTTGATAGGTACAGCTATAGACAGGTTTTAATGATTATGACAAAGCAGTTTTAAGTAAGTCCATTATAGTGTCACAGTTGTGTGTATATTATCAACTTCCAAGCTAGCATCATCTGTGAAAGACAGTTAGCCACAGGTACTAGAGTACAAACTTAAGCTTTTCTTCATACTTTGTAAAACTCTTTGATCTTTTCAACTATCATAGCACTGATGAGAATAAAAAAAAACATTACTTTTTCTTCAGCTCTGTACTTATTGGATAATGATGTGAATTGTCTATTTGTTCAGTGTATATTATCCTTTCTGTATTTAATATATTCTTACCAGTATAATTCTATTGACTAAGATAACCACCAGGTAATTCTGATGACTTGTTGTTTCACATTTCAGTCATTAAACTGTGAGAAGTATCTGATATTTTCTACTATTTCTATACATCCTCTTTTGACTTGCATGCTTTATACTTTAGACCTGCTACATGCTGAAAGTTAAAGCACCAAATTCTTGTAAATTGTATAGGCCTCTTAAGGTTTTACACAGCCTGTGCTTCTCTTGTTTTCTATCATTACATTCAGTAGCAATTGTGGTTTGCTTTCAGAAAGTCTACAAGATATTTTTTTTTAATTCTGCTGAATGATTTCTGTTTGAAGATTTGAAGACGGAATTTATTAATTTTTTTCAGATGGACAGCATTGGGGCAAAATACATTTACTTGCCTTTTCTCTCTCTCTCTCTCTCTCTCTCTCTCTCTCTCTCTCTCTCTCTCTCTCTCTCTCTCTCTCTCTCTCTCTCTCTCTCTCTCTCTCTCTCTCTCTCTCTCTCTCTCTCTCTCTCTCTCTCTCTCTCTCTCTCTCTCTCTCTCTCTCTCTCTCTCTCTCTCTCTCTCTCTCTCTCTCTGCAGTCATATGTGTGTGTGTGTGTGTGGGTGGCGCGCGCGCATACGTGTGCGTGTGTGTGTGTGTGTGTGCATATATGTGCATGCGTACGCAAGGTCTATATAAGTACTTATATAGACCTTGTGCGTACGTATGCGTGCGTGCGTGTGCGCGCGCGTGTATCTGCGTGTATGTGCGTGCGTGCGTGCGCATGCATGCGTGCGCGCGTGTGTGTTTGTCGTGGTCTAAGTAGAGAGGCGGTGGTGTACACAATAAAGGGAAATTCAGTCAATGCATTTCCATCCAACATGTAAACCGTTCTGTGTATTTGACTTATAAAAACACTGCTTGCATGTTTGTAAAATGAGGTGTACGGCAGATGTATTCACGTATGTGTGCATGTATTCATATATATATGTTTGTTTGGAAACTACAAACTTTATTCATATAAAGTGATGGTTATAAAATCGCCGACCACGAAAAACGAAGAAAAGAAATAGTGAAAGCAATGATTTATTTGCAGTTGCTATGTTAAAGAATCATTCATAAAATCGTCTCATTTGTTCACATCTTCAACCTCGCCGGACACTTGTTTAAAGATTTCTTGTAAACCCAGTGTGACATATTTAAACTTGCTCTGTGTCTTTTCGAGAGTGCACGGTTTTCGTGCCAGGCTATGCTAGGTCACACAGGTTATCCACAAGTGTCTCATATATACAAGTGATAGTCTATATTCCAAAGGCAAACATTCGCTTAGCTACTAGGAAGGAGGTAAACATGGGTAAGTAGGTACCTCTGTTCTTCCCAATACACTAAAACAGTGTTGTAACGAACCACAATAACAAATGAATAAAGAAAAAAGTGACCATCCAAATTTGGCTAATTCATTGGCTCATGATGGCGACTCTTCTGTTTAGGTTTGGAAACATCGAGCCTTTCCAGAGGGTTCAGAGCGGCTCTCGGGCAGTCACAGCATCCGGGGAAGGGGTTGCAGGAGGGCGTAGTGCAGCAGGGCTGGGCGTGGGCGTCGAGGGCGCGAGTGCGAGGAGGCATCCACGTTACGTTGGCAATGTGTTCGTTTCTCCATTTGGTTAAGGCTTCTAGTACCGGCCTGGGAAGGAGAGGAGAGAGATACTTAATAGAGAAACATTAAGGTTATGTGCAGTACCGGATTATGCAGGGCGTACACACTGACACTGCTGTACAGTGATACTATGCTCGCCACAAGTGTAGAATGTATTATTAACTGGTCAATGCGATATTGCTCACTGGCACAGAGTGTCAGAGAATGCCAATGCCGTATTACTCACTGGTACAGAGTGTCGTTTGCAAGGTTGTAACGCTCCCCGGGGTCCTGCTGTATGTCGAAGAGCAGAGGCGGGTCGTGGCGCGTGAGAGGGTGGCGCTGAGGACACATCGGGTCGTAGTTGCTGGCGTCAGACAGATCTGTGGAGGATAACGACGGTCATGGTCGTGGTTCTTCAGAGAACAGAAAGGAGGCCTACTGACTCGCCAGTATATTAATTCTAATAAATATACCACTAACAAATGTGTCGCGAAACGTCCATATAAAACAAAGAAAAGAAAAAAGAACCGAAGAGAAAAAACACCACCAAAGGACGTACCTGATCCCTTGGTGAAGAAGTGGGCCTTGAACTTGCCGTCCGTGACAGCGTAGGGATCCGTGGCCCTCGCCGGCCCCTCGGAGTACACCGGGAACATCTCCCGTGGGCTCTGTTCAATATTGCTTCGTGTTAATGACATGTTTATGGATATAATACGATATACAAGTTCTAGTAAAGTCTACAGGTCACATAATACCTTATTATCCGGCGACCAAAGGAGAGAGGACACATCCACGCCATCCAATGTCAGGCTGGATGTGTTGGCGTTCGTAAGAGCGGCCAGGGTGGGCAGAATGTCGAGCGACGACACCAGGCCATTCGTCCGACCTGGGGGAGAGGCCAAGCTAAGATAAGATATCCAGACTGCTTTAAATATTAATTCTTTTCCATTTGTATCCTAATATTCGCATTTTGATTTTGAACATCCTCCGGATATCCACTTATATATTTGGAACAAAGAAAGTGAACTGACCTGCCCTGACCTTCCCTGGCCAGTAGACGAAGGACGGAACTCTGACGCCGCCCTCCCACGTCGTGCCCTTCCCGCAGCGCAAGGGCCCCGCGCACCCCCCTCGCTCGTGCCGCGTCAGGCTCGGTCTGAGGGTAGGGGCGTTGATGTCAATTATGGGGGTGGTTATGATGTGGAGGCGTCTCGCTCATTCATATTCTTTCTCTCTCTCTCTCTCTCTCTTCTCTCTCTCTCTCTCTCTTCTCTCTCTCTCTCTCTCTCTCTCTCTCTCTCTCTCTCTCTCTCTCTCTCTCTTTCTCTCTCTCTTTCTCTTTCTCTCTTCTTTCTCTCTTTCTCTTTCTCTCTCTTTCTCTCTCTCTCTTTCTCTTTCTCTTTCTTCTTCTCTCTCTCTCTCGCTCTCTCTCTCGCTCTCCTTTCTCTACTTACTCGCACTCACCCCCCCCTCACACACACAACACACGCTCCTCACCCGTTATCCGAAGCGAACCAGATCACCGTCGACGAATCTATCCTCAGCTTCCTCAGGAGCAGCGTGATCTCGCCCACCATCCAGTCCAGCTCCATCAGCGCATCTCCGGTTCTCCCGCGGGCGCTTTTGCCGTGGAATTTTTTGGATGCGAATTGTGGGTGGTGGATCTGTTTAAGGTGGTGTCGAGATGTTTGCTTTGTTTATCAGGGAATATAGAGAGAATCTGTGGGGAATAGTTTAGATTCTCTGGGTAATAGTGGTTAGGATCTGTTTAAAAATTGGCTGTTTATTAAGGAAGGTTTAGAATCCTTGGGGAATAGAGGTTTGGATCTGTTTAAGATGTCGAGATGTTTGCTTTGATTATCAGGGAATATTGAGCATCCTAGGGCAATAGTTTAGAATCTCTGGGTAATAGTGATTAGGATCTGCCAAAAAATTGGCTCTTTATGAAGGAAGGCTTAGAGTCCTTGGGGAATAGAGGTTAGGGTATGTTTCTTTTGTTTATTAGGGAATATAGAGCATCCTTGGGCAATAGTTTAGAGTCTCTGGGGAATAGTGGTTAGGATCTGCCAAAAAAATGCCTATTTATTAAGGAAGGTTTAGAATCCGAATCCTTGAGGAAAAGAGGTTAGGATCTGCCAAGATGGTGGCAAGATGTTTGATTTGTTTATTAAGGAATATAGAGCATCCTTGGGCAATAGTTTAGAATCTCTGGTAATAGTAGTTAGGATCTGCCAAGTTACTTTCTTTGTTAATTAAGTAATGTATAAAATATTTGGTCAATATTGATGATGCCAGGACTTATACATATATGATTAATGTTCATAATACATCAGTATACATAAAGTTTATAATAATTACCAAAGTAGATAACCCATCCTTTGTTTGCTTACCTGACCATCTACTTACCTACTTAATGCTTATCTACCTTTCTACCTCCTACCTACTTAACCTACATATTCACCTACCTGCCTCCATACCTAATGCTTACCTACTTCTCAAGCTTACCTCTACTTACCCACCACCTGCCTACCTAACTATTACTTACGCAACCCCTGCTACCTACTTACCAACCCAGCTTACCTATTCCAACCCAACACTGCTTACTACTTACCACGCCATCTGCTTACCCTACTTCCACAACTTCACCTGCCTACCCTACTTAACCCACCCCACCTGCCTACCTCCTTACCCACTACTGACCACACGACTACTTACCAACGCCACAATGCTTACGGCTACTTACCACCACCTGCCATACCTACTTTACCCAAACCATCTGCTTACCTCTTACGCTACCCACCTGCTAACTACTTACCAACCACCTGCTACCTACTTTACCAACCCATCTGCTTACCTACTTAACAAACGCATACCCTGACTAGCTACTTACCAACCCACCTGCTACTCTTGCATAACCACACCATGCACCTGCTTATCCTACTTACCACAGCAGCCTGCCTACTCTACTTACGCAACCCCACCTGCCATACTACTTATCACCACAACCCACCTGCCTACGTACTTACCACCCAACCTGCCTACGGCTACTTACCCCCATAACCTGCTTACGCTACTTAACCACACGCACACATGCTTACATCTACTTACGAAACCCTACCTGCCTACCTTTATTAACGGCACACACACCCACCTGCTTAACACTTACTAACTCTACCAACCACCTGCCTAACTGACTTCCTACTTACGCAAACCCACGTCTGCCTACCTACTATACGCACCAACACTCGCATTACCACTACCTACAAGCCCACCTGCTTACCGTACTTACCTATATCACTACTAGCTATACCTATACTTACCAACCATACCAGCCTCACCATATATCATATACCTTAACCCCACTTATCTTAGGCTTAACCTATATCTATACGCTAAACCCACTGCCTACCTATACATACCATCAGTAGTACCACCATGAACCTAACCGTTACACTTATAGCCGAGATCATACCCACCTGCCTTCTAACATACTCTACCACTACTACTGCCTACTACTTACTTACCTTCATACACCCATCTCATGCTACTACATACTTACGCAACTACTCTACTCTGAGCCTACTCCTATATATACCTAACCTACCATGACTACCTCACTTTAGCTAACTATAATACTACACACACCTGCCTACTACTTACCAAACCAGCTGCTCTAACTACTTATCAAACCATCCTTATATGCTATTATATATCTTACCACTACACTGCCCTACCTACTTACCAACCACTCTATAGCTACCTACTTCACCAACACACACCTGCCTACCTTTACTTTACCAACTCATCACACTGCTACCTATTACTTACGTCATACGTATATAGTACACCTTAGCCTACTACTCATAACTCAACCATACACTGCATCCTACTTACGCACCACACACCTGCCTACCTACTTTACCAACCCCACGCTGCCTACGCTACTTATACCTTTAACCACCTGCCTACCTACTTACCAACGAACCCTACCTAACTACCAACCACCTGCCTACCTACTTATCCACCAACCCACCTGCCTACCTACTTACCAACCCACCTGCCTACCTTACTTACCAACCCTCACCCTCCTGCCTATCCCTACGTACGCAACCCACCTACGATCCGCCTACCTACTTACCACCCCCTGCTTACCTACTTACCAACCCACCTGCCTACCTGCTTACCTACTTACCAACCCACCTGCCTACCTGCTTACCTACTTACCAACCCACGTACTGCTACCTAAACCTACTTACACTGCCCTATAACTTACAATCCAACACACGTGGTACCTACTTACCTGATGGAAGTAGAGGAAGAAGGACTGATTCTTGTGATGGGCGTCGCTGATGAAGCCGAGAGCGCGGTTCAAGTAGCGACTCGAGAGCGTGGGGAGAGATACCGGCTGTTCCAAGATGGTTGTGTTGCTGCAAGACATTGAGGAAGTGGGGGGAAAATATAGTAAAAAGAAAAAAGAAAGAAAAAAAAAAGTGCAGCAGCAATAAATCTGATTAAAAAAAGAGGAAAAAAGTGTGTTGTTAAAAATAAAAAGAAATGGTAAAAATATACTGTTTTTAGAAATCGTCAAAAGGTGTTTGTGGGCTGTTGGAAAATTTATAATATAAGAAACCAAAGATACGAAGTACTGAATAAGGCTGTGTTCGCCACAGAAAAAAAAATAAGAAAAAAAATCATTTTTTTTAAAGATGGTTGGATGGATTCCTTGAAGAAATTAATAAATAAAAGAAAATCACCGTTTCTAAAACATCTTTAAAAGTGAATTAGGAATCTACTTTAAAAGCCTCGAACATGCTTTCATGAAAAAACATATTCTTCTTTCAAAAGTTTTCTGGGGAAAAAGCTCAGATCCAGAGTAAAAAGTCTCAATTAATAAATCAATTAAGTAATGCTCCCATGTGTGTGACTACACACACCCACCCAACACACACAAACACACACACACACACACACACAGACACACACTACACACACCTACACACCACACAACACAGCACACAACCACGATCAGACACCATGCGATCCACAAGCACTGGCTATTGCAGCGACGACAGCGAGGGTGGGTGGGATCATCGCGATCGACTACGAGGTGGTCTTCTAGGCTCTAGTCGTGGAGAACTAGGAGATGTTAATATTTACTAGAAGCATTTGTATTTTCATTTTCCGTTACACAACTAAGAAACACAAAAGAACAAACACAAACAACTCCAACTCACATCAGCCAAAACACCACCGCACGCCAATACCTTTGTTGGTTGTGTCTTATCCCACGCTCTCGAATGCTCCGTCGGCGCTAGCCTCGACTGCGGTAGTACATGGGGATCATGTAGCTGTATCATTGTGTGCGCGGTGTGCTCCAGCGATGTTGTCGCGGAGTGCATGCGTGGTGCGCCTGGCCTGTCTGGGGACGGCAGGGATGTGCGGCGAGTGGTAACATCTATGCGAGTGTGTGGATGTTGAGTAGGCACGCCGTAGTGTGATGCTTGCTGGCGGTGCCTGTGAAGCTCGATAGTGCGTCCGCGAGTAGCGTTCTGCCTTGTGTGGCATTCATTGGTTTTTTCCTCTGGTCCCTGACTCTCCAGGGATCCTTGTTCCACACTGTGCGAGGAGACTGAACTGGTGCGGTCACAGACCGACTAAGATATTCGGGGTGGCTGTGATATTGTGGCTGCTTACTTTTGTTGGTTATATGACACTCGGTGGGTAGCTTATACGTTTAGCTGGAGCTTTTTGTTCTGTAGAGAGTTGTCGGCGTCTGGAATAAGTACATATGTGAGGGGAGAGTGGAGCGTTCTGTTTTGAGATTTTTGTTGTTCCTGGACAACAACAGCCTGAAAATGAGATACAATGGTGGGTGGAATTGAGGTAGTCGTAGGGTTGGGGCTTGTATACGATTATGGTGTCTAAGGAGCGCACATGCGAGACAACGACACTGTTATGAGACGAGTAGTCCGTTAGAGATGGGCAGAAGATTATGTTGGTGTATTGGGATATTCTTTTTATTTATTGTGTGGATCGCAACAATCTTGTATGATGCTGTCTTTAGTGTTGTGTGTACATCAGATAATTGTTGTGTTGTGGCACTTGCTGGGTGAATCGATGTATGTTCGTATGTGCGCGTCTTCTGTTTTACTAATGGTTTGGGTGCTCGCCCCGGGAGGCGTGTGTGCGTTGGGGGGTCCATAAAAAAAAAAAGAACTCAGTCGGCTCATTTATGGGCTTTGGTCACTCTTCGGGTGCGTGGGTGCACACACAGCATACAAGAAAGATCATGGACGTAGGGCAGAGCGGGTCAACAAATACGACATAATAGCAGTGGAGCGCCGCCACCACACGTCCGCCTCACATAATTCTGCGGGGTGTCGCGCGGCTTTTTTTCGCTTGTGGTGACGGGAATGCTGTGTGGGGTAGTCAATGTTGGGGGTGTGGTGTGTGTGCTCTGTACGGATTGGTTGTGATGTGCTGGAGGTTGTCGTGTCATTAAGTATGATGAACATCTACAATATGGTGGCGGGGCTAGTAGTGTGAGGGACATAAGTATAGTATGTAGACGTGTAGCTCTATTGAATTTTGGCATGGTTCTAGAGCTTTATCGAATATGTGTCGTGAGAGTGGTATAATCTAGGTGATTACATAGTCACTGGTGCGGGTTTGGGTCGTATGGTGACAGGCTGGTTGGTATAGTCAACACATTCACGGTCGATTCAGGTCGGTCTCTGTACAGAGATAAATAGTGCACTGTAGCGGTAAGAGGTAGATATACGTCGTTAAGAAGATTCTGTATTTTGCAAAGGTAGGTGAGTGTTGTCTTACTTAGGGTCTGGAAATAGGTGTAATAGGAAGATTAATTCGTTTAATTTAAGGTGATTCGCGGTATAAGAATGCTAGACGTCTATGGTACGCGAAGCGGATCAGTTTCGAGTACAGTAAGGCGTAACGCGGCACCATGCATCTCAACCCCAGTTGTTGGTTTGGTCTATAGATAGCACGCTCATAACGGAGAGCCTTACATAGCGTATCTTCGCGATCAAAGTACGCGCGAGCGCACGAGGCTCAGTGCGCTCTGGCATAACCTCAGCGTTAGAGCCGTGGAAGAACGCTCGTAGCGCGAGTTATTGTGTGTCTATTGCGTCGAGATAGACCATGTAGAGGGTGTGGATGCTGATGGAGGTTGGAATAGACGTAGGATGGAGGAGTAGAGCAGCGTGCTCCGGATCCTTGGCGAGTGACGCGTATGGTAGAGAAGGGCGCTGTGGAACAAGGCGATCAAGTCGGATGTTGGGTGAGATGCTGAGTAGGAAGGAGGATGTGAGGTAGAAGTATTGAGTGAGTGACTCTGAGAGATGTTGGAGTATAGAGAGATGAGGAGCGAGAGAGGTGGAAATGAGTGGGAATGTAGAGAGGGTAGAGGGAGCAGGTGATGATGGGAGGGTTAGGAGGATAAGAGTGAGTCAGAGTAGGGAAGAGAGGATGGTGAATGAGAGTGAGGCACTGAGAGAGGAGGGGTGATGGAGAGTAGAGAGGAGGGAGAGAGGATTAAAGGGTAATGGAGAGACGAGGTAGAGCGCGAGAGATGAGAGAGATGTAGAGGAGTACTGGAGAGAGAGAGAGAGGTAATGAGAGAGTTAGGGAGACGGGAAGAGAGAGAGAGAATGTGAGGAGTGAGGGTATGGCGCTCAACGAGAGGTAGGAGTAATGAGGGGGATTAGAGAGTATGGTGATCGAGTGAGGAAGGAGAGAACGCAGGAGTAGAGGATGGATGGGAAGGTAGATTAGCAGACGATGTGAGGCGAGTTAGGACACACAGAGGTCAGGAAGATCAAGAGAGGCATGGGAGACCTCAGGGTACATTATCGCGTATAATAGCATGAGGCATAGACAGAGACAAGGATGAGCAGCCATAAACTGTTAGGGAGGAATGTACGAGAGCAACACGGCATGAGAAATTGACAATAAAGAATAAGAGAACAGGAGAGAAAGGTTTCGAATAGAAGCTTAGTTGAGTGGGTTGGTAAGTAGGATAATGTATTAAGCAGGATCCACCGAACACACACACCATTGCATACGAACACACAAGCAGTTAATTTCAGCTAACACACCTAGAACACACTCTTGTCTCTACACGCACACGAGCAGAAGACCTCATAAAATTCAACAGAAATACCACGGATTCCAGTTCAGACTTAACAGAAGACAGATTTCTGCTAACCTGGAAGGACTGCAGACAGGACTCGTGACGTAGAACTGGTTGAAGAACCTCCCATTCGCCGCCAGCTGATCGATGTGAGGCGTTCTGTGGGGTTTAAGAGACAGTAGGCATCAGGAATTTAATGTGAGGCATTTATGATACGGGGATACGATATTTCCTTCTCTTTTGGGGATATTTCTCTTTTTACTTTTTCAGTTCTTTTTCTTTCTTTTTTTCTTTCTCTTTTTCTCTTCTCTCTCCTTTCTCTTTCTCTCCCCCCCCTCTCCTCTCTCTTCTCTTTCTCTCTCTCATCTCACTCTCTTTCTCTCTCCCCCCCTTCTCTCTATCTCTACCCTCCCTCTGCTCTTTCCTATTCTCTCCCTCTTCCCTCTCTCTCTCTCTCTCTCTCTCTCTCTCTCTCTCTCTCGCTCTCTCTCTTATTTCTCTATCCATATATATATATATATATATATATATATATATATATATATATATATATATAATTTATTCATAATTTCTACACATCTTATCTCTTAATAAAGGCCACACACGGCGTACTAACCTAGACGTCGGATGACCTGAGAAGCTGAGGTCACCGAACCCGAGATCATCAGCAAACAAAACGATGACATTCGGAGGTCGAGAAACATTGCTCTTAATCTTCTTTTTGCCTTTAATCTTATTCCCAGCACCGGCGCTTACAGAGACTACGATGGCCAAAAGGAAACACGTTATTAACATGTACTTCGTAGCCATGGTTGCGGATGGGTCCCTCTCTGGCTCTCTTGATTGTCACTGTTTTTCGTTAACTGGTTTTCTTTGACTTCCTCTGGCTTTCTGAACTGTCAGTGACTTTTCTTAGTTGCCACTGACTTTTCTTATCTGCCACTGGCTTATCTGAACTGTCACTGGCTTTCCTTGACTTTCGCTGGCTTTCTGAACCGTCACTGGCTTTCTCCGTCGCTAACAGGCGTTGAGAAAAGGTCGTTCTTGTCATGAGATGTTGAGTGGGACGATAAAGATAAGGACAGGTGGCCCTTCTGCGTTATCACTAACATCAACTTAATCTTTGCTGATAATTCCTGACGAAGTGCTCCGACTCGTGCCATGTATTCTACGAGGGAACGTTGGCTGAGTCCCTGATAAGGATGCAGTGGACCTGGGAGGAAAATGAGCAGAAAATGATAATATTGATTATGATCACAGCAGATTAAGATTGATGATGGCATTGATAATGATAGTAAGAATGGCAGTGCTAGTAATAACAATAGTATTAATAATAATAATAATGCTAGTAATGGTGATAATAATGACAATAATGGTAATAATAATTGATTGTTTAGATTATCACCCGTGGCAATGTAATATAACAATATAAGACATTATATTATGATAATCATGAACTGCGGTTCTGTTGGTCCAATCAACCCTGTTTCCCATTAGTTATGTAAGTAATTCAGTGTCGTGATTTCGAGCAGAACTTATTTTTTTTTTCACTGATACTTGAACTAAACGTGTATAATATCTTTGTATAAGTATTTTATTGGAGTAGAGACTTGATGTGTCGCAGAAGTCTAAGAAATAATTTAAATGCGCGGCCAGATAGAGAACCAATTTCAAAATAAAAATACCCTCTGGAAATCACAATCACAACAATGGTAATAAAAAGGTAAAGAAATAAAAATCAGCGTTCAACAACAGGGTGCCTTTGCAATACAAATCAATATATAACTTGCATGCAACCGCTGTAATCACCATCACCAGATAGTCACACGATAACACTATCACCTTTACCCTTAAGTTTCTTAATTCTTCCAAAAGTACGCACAATTACTGTTTATTTATTTTTTTTTTTCGCTCATCCGCACGACGAAATTTCAGTGTAAAAAATCCTGTTTACTCTTAATATCCGTCACACTCTCCCCACGTTGAAAGCAGACACAACACTAACACTTGCGGCCACGGTAGAGTCAATTAAGAAACGTGCCGACGCGCCTGTGAATATGGAATGAGAAATAATTAATTAGAATATTTGGAATATTTGTAAACGTATTCATTCTCTTCGATGCTTCTTAGGAAAACATACGCGTGCATGCATAAGTATTCGTGCAATAAACAGTGATACATTCACGTGTTTGCATTGTGTAGTCTGCAATCACCGCCGTGACCTGTACATGTATATATATACCTCTGTATCTTTTATCCTTTATGTCCTTGAAGAATCAATACAACAAAAATGCCTGTGGCGCGTTCGCAGGCTGTCAGGTTCTTCCATTCGTCTTTTTACTTGTTTCTTTTTTTTTATTATCATTTTTTTTTTTTATGCGAATTCTACATGATATGTAGTCTGGGCATGTATGTGTGCGCGTGCTTGTATGAGAAAGAAAGCTGCAGAAAGATTGAAATATTCATTATAGAGAGAAAGAGGGAAAGGGAGGAGAGAGAGGGGGAGAGCGAGCGAGACCGAGAGAGAGAGAGAGAGAGAGAGAGAGAGAGAGAGAGAGAGAGAGAGAGAGAGAGAGAGAGAGAGAGAGAGAGAGAGAGAGAGAGAGAGAGAGAGAGAGAGAGAGAGAGAGAGAGAGAGAGAGAGAGAGAGAGAGAGAGAGAGAGAGAAGAGGGGGGAGGGGGGGTAAGGAGGTAGGGAGGCAGACATAATAATGATAATAATAATAATAAAAACAGACAGTCAAACAGATATACGAAGACAGACGAAACACACAAACACAAACGGACGAAAAAATGACTACAAGATTACACCTTTCACATTCCATTTGCAAGAAACCCTATTGAATGCCACCGCCATATCTAGATTAGTCCCCCTCTAACGGTCGAACTTCAGTATGACTCAGCCTGTCCTATCCACCGGTCGCTCGATTTACCCTACCCTTTTTCTCTTATTTCCACTTTTCAAAAGCGGGGAATAACTTCTTTCACAACTAGTATAAGTATTTGTTATGTATCATATTGATGTAGATAACCAGAGTTCTTATTTGAAGAGATATTTACCAGTTAAGAGAGGAAATGCTCTGTGCGCCGTTAAGGAGTGGACCAACTCCGAAACTGCAGGACAGGAAACGGTCGAATTATGAGCCAGCTGTAGGGCTATTTTGTGAAGAATAAATCGCATGAATATCCAGTATATTTTTTATCTTTCCGGGAGTTCAAGAAGAATTGCACAGATATATAGAAGTTGGGATATAAGACATTTCTTTATAATGCATGTCCTCGTAAGAATTGAATATTGTGTTGGTGCATTTTATTCTTAAAACTGTATATCACAAATAAGTTAAGCCAGACACGATCACACAAACACCGCCTCCAAATAAATATGCTTACATATGCTATACGTATATACATATATGGACCACTATATAAACGGACAGCTATCTGTCTCTAGCTCTACCTATTCTTTCTTTTCCTATCTATCCTTCTGTATCACATTTAGCTATCTATCATATTGCTTCTGTGTTCTAGTTTCATTACGGTTATCTTGACTATAGTTGAATATATAAATATATTTATATTAGTATTATAAATTGAAATATGTATAATGACATATAATGCTGTGTTGGTAGTAGGGTAGGGAGGTGGGTTTGGTAAAAGTGCGTATGGCAGGTGGGTGGTAAGTAGAGTAATAGAGGTAGGTATCAGGTAAGATAGGTAGTGACAGGTGGTTGGTAAGTAGGTAGGTATCAGGTGGGTTGGTTAAGTAGGTGTAGGCCAGGTGGGTATGGTTAAGTGGTAGGTTCAGGTGGCGTCTGGTAAGTGGTAAAAGACAGCGGTGGGTTGGTAAGGTAGGATAGGGCAGGTGGGTTGGTAGTATGGTAGTGACAGGTAGGTTTGGATAAGTAGGTAAAAGCAGATGGGTTGGTAACCAGGTAGTAGGTAACACATACACAGCAGGTGGTTTTTGGAGGTAAGTAGTTAGGCAGGGGGTTGGTAAGTAGGTATACAGATGGTTTGGTAGTGTAGGATAAGGCAGGTGGGTTTGGTAAGTATGGATAAAGCAGGTGGGTTGGTAAGTAGGTAAGCAGGTAGGTGGGTAAGTGGATGAGGCAGTGGGTGGAGTTAAGTAAGTTAGGCACAGGGTGTGTTGGAAAGTAGTGTAAGACAGATATGTGAGTTGGTAAGTAGTTAGCAAGGCATGTGGCATCGTAAGGTAGGTAAGTCAGGTTGAGGTTGATAATAGTATAGGTAAATATATAAGCAGGTGTGGTATTTGGTAAATAGATATACGGTATAGCAGGTGGTGGGTAAATGTATGGTAAGTTGAGAGTAGGTATAAGCTAATTTAGGTATGGGAGGGCTCAGGAAGGTATGAAATATGGTAGTGTTAAGTTGAGGTTAGGAGGCAGAAAGGTAGTTGAAGACATTATAGGTAGGTGGTATAGAAATATGGAATGGTCAGGTAAGCATAAACGAAGATGGGTATAGTCTACATTGTGGGTAATTATATAAACTTTGTGTATACTGATGTTAATTATGAACATTAATCATATATGTATAATTCGGACCTGGCATCATCCATGATATGGCCAAATATTTTATAATTAGCTTGTAATTTAACAAGAAAGTGACGTGGCAGCCCTGGTGTAGTTATACTATATATGTATATATATTAATTCATATAATATATATAACTTACATTACAGAGATTCTAAACTATTGGCTCTCAAGGATGCTCTACATATTTCCTTAAAAACAAATCAAATACTCTTGGCACCATCTGGACAGATCCTAACCTCTATTCCTCACGGATTCGATTCTATAAAACTTCTTAATAAATAGTCATTTTTTTGGAGCAAATCTCTAAACCACTATCCCCAAGAACTGCTAAACTATTGCCGCAAGGAGCATTCTATATTCCGCTAATAAACAAACTACCCTAACCTCTATTCCCAAGGACTCAAGCATCCTTCAGTACAGAGCACATTTTTGCTAGATCTAATCCACTAACCCTCAGAGATATTCTACTAACTATTGCCCCTAAGGATGCTTACTCAATATTTCCCTTGATCCATATCAATAGAAACATCTCGACATCTTAGAAACAGCACCAAACTCTTCCCAGGACTCTAAACCATATATATATATCAGCCAACGTATACCGACAGAGAACCAAAACATTCTCACCACCACATATTTCTCATCTTAATATATCGCTGATATAACAAAGCAAAACAATACTCGACACCACCTTAAACAGATATCACAACACCACACCACACACACCAAATCGCATCTATTCCCCAACTAATTCAAACCTTTCCTAAAACAACAATTCCCATTAGAGATATCTATAAACAGAATACACCTCAGATTCCTTACTCTTATTCCTATATTATAAAACAAAACATCTCGACACCATCTTAAACAGATCCCACGCCACGCAATTCGGTGCAATCCAAATAAATCAGCGGCAAAAGCGCGCTCGCCAGGGAGAAGCCGGAGAGCGCGACTGATTGAGCACATGTGTGTGAGTGAAGTACTCACGACTAGAGATAATATGATTAGGTATATAAGTATATATAGAGTGATCACGCGAGCTCCTGAGGAAGCTGAGAGGATGAGAGATATTAATAGTACGATCACTGGGCTGATTCTGAGCGTTGCTCCGTGGTGAACTGGAGGTGGATGGGAGAGGTGCGAATATGTTGACTGATTTGGACGAATGATGTGAGTGAGAGAGTGTTGAGTAGGTAAGTGCTAGAGGAGTCGAGAGATCGTAGCGAGTGTCGCAATAGATGGCAGAGTAGAGAGAGAACGATGAATAGAGTAGTAGAGAAGAGAAGTGAGAGAGAGTGAAGAGAGAGGAGTAAGATAGGAGTAAGAGAGATGATATTTAGATCACGTGAAACAATGAATGAGTGAAGAGAGATAGTAAGGTAGTATAATGATAAGAGTATAAATGTGAGAGTGATATAGTAAGCAATAAGTCGATTATATATATATAGATGAGAACGATATATAGATGAGAACGATGAGAGACGACGCAGAAGACGAGCAGCGAAAGACGAAGAAGGACGCCGATGCCACGCACAGCACACGAGACGCAACAGCGACACAACACAGAGACACACACAACACGCACACACGAGAACGCGAACAACGACACGACAGAGCAGAACGAAGAGAGAGACAACGAACAGAGCGAAGAGAGACCAGAAAGCAGACACGGAGCGACGGCACACACAGAGGAAGAGAAGAGCGACGACACGAAGAAGAGAGAAGGGAGGAGACGAGAGCAGAGCACACAACACACGAGAGAACATTATATGAATATTAGAGCGTAAGATACGCCTATTATAACATATAATAATTTACCACATTATGTAATTCGTACGATTATTTAATAGTATGTAATGTTATTTGATACATTCTTTCGTTACGAGTATTACATATCATTGTGTCATATATATATATATAACTAGCAAATACATAAGTACTCATTCGAACCCCGCAGCACTGCCGCCGGCCCGCCCCCCTAGAATATATAGGGGTTTGGGTCTATAGCTGGGGGCCCTTTATAGGAGACTCATTAATGATCATACATACATGACGAAATAAATGAGTCAACGAAGTGGAGGGTGTATAGTATACTAGATGACGATATACTTACTAGAAGTTATTATCCATACGTCCTTCGTCTATTTGTTTGACCTTGTGTCGTGAGGGGTGGTGTGGGGTGTGTATGGTGTGGTGGTGGCTGCGATTTCACAGTATATTACAAAATACCTTTCATTTTTATGGTATTCAAATTAATATTATACTAATAGTATTATAGGGTAAAATAACTATATACCTGAGATGAAATCGTATGAATATTACTAAAAATACCAAAATTATGTCACGATATATATTAAGATATATACTAGTTCGAGTAAGTAATATAAAGAGAATTATAATTGATTCAATATATTAATCGAGGCTCAAGGACCGTAGGGAGTTAAAAATCTTGAAATATGAAAACACGTTTGGGCTCCTCTACTCTCAGGAGGAGATGCGGTTTGGAGCAAAACGCAACATCAGGAATAACAACAACTGGTTTCTGTGAAGCTACACTGGTCTCACGCCGGAACGAAAACACCTATCTACCTGATGTGACGCACTAGAATGCGCAGATGTCGCCAAGGACTAGTGCCGGGTCTTACCACTCTCAGTATCTGAGGGTTAATACCTTGACGCGGATCTACATTCTCTACCCAAAGATGTAGGATCTCTATGAATTAGAGCACGAACATGATTTTCTCGAATTCGCCGATAAGCGATAGGAAATCGGTAAAGAATTATAAAAAGAGATATGGTTGAGACTAAGGAACCAGGGGCAGAATTCGAGCTAGCGTTCACGACTGTGTCCTGCTGCGAGAGCGAAGTTATATACTTCAAAACCG